GCCTCGCCCCATCCTGCTGCTACCCGCAGACACCTTCGCCTTGCTGTCCCGCGTGCGCAACAAGCCCTACGACGTGTTCGGTTGCTGGCTCACGGACACCAGCCTGATCTCGGGAAACTTGCACCGCATCGGGGACATCACGTCGTGCTCTGTGCTCTGGCTTAACAACGCCTTCCAGGTGCGCGGCGGGGGGGGGGGCCCTGGGGGCCCTGCGGCCGGCGGCAGCCCCCAGCAGCCCGTGCCCACCCCTGCGCTCCTGCCCCCAGGACGTGGAGTCGGAGAACGTGAACGTGGTGAAGCGGCTTTTCAAGATCCAGAACCTGAACGCTAGCACCATCCGCACTGTCATGGTGGCCGACTGCAGTCGCTTCGACAGCCCGGAGCTCCTGCTGGACGCCGGCGCCCCTGGCGCAGGCCCCGGCCGTGTCTTTGACCTGAGCAGCGACAGCGAGGACCAGGCGGTCGACCCGGGCCCGGCCCGCGCCAAGGGCTTGCGGCACGTCCTGGAGGGCCGGGCCCAGCCCCAGCTGTCAGAGTGCGCTCTGGAGACCAAGGCAGCCGAGCTGCTGGCCCAGGGCCACACCAAGCCCCCCGAGCGCAGCACGGCCGCCGCTGGCAACAAACTCCTCATCTTCACCACGGGCTGCTTCACCTACTCGCCGCACCAGATCGGTGAGGGGCCCTGGCGAGGCTCCCCGGGCTGGGGCGGGGCCCGTCTGTGCGCAGAGTCCCTTCCTCCCTTTGCCCTGGGGGTGAGCGCTTGTGCAGCCCCCCGGGGCGCACCTTCGGATCCAGGGGCACAGGGCTGGTGGCGCCGCGGGCGTCTGGGCGCTCCCAGGCACCGAGGCGCTGCCCACCCGGCCCCCACAGGCATCAAGCAGATCCTGCCGCACCAGATGACCACGGCGGGGCCCGTGCTGGGCGAGGGCCGGGGCTCCGACGCCTTCTTCGACGCGCTCGACCACGTCATCGACGTGCACGGACACATCATTGGCATGGGCCTGTCCCCCGACAACAGGTGGGCGTCTGTTGGCAGCCTGGGTGGGGGCGTCCGCAGGCCCTTACTGAGCAGCGTGCCCATGCAGGTACCTGTACGTAAACAGCCGCGCCTGGCCCAGCGGCTCGGTGGTGGCCGACCCCATGCAGCCGCCGCCGATCGCGGAGGAGATCGACCTGCTGGTGTTCGACCTCAAGACCATGCGGGAGGTGAAACGGGCCCTGCGCGCCCACCGCGCCTACACGCCCAATGATGAGTGCTTCTTCATCTTCCTGGATGTCAGCAGGGACTTCGTGGCCAGGTCCGGGGGCGGAGCCGGGTGGGGAGGGGCCCCAGTGGGCGGTCGGGGGCTCATCCCAGGCGCTCTCGCAGTGGGGCAGAGGATCGGCACGGCTACATCTGGGACCGCCACTACAACATCTGCCTGGCCAAGCTGCGGCACCAGGACGTGGTCAACTCAGTGGTCTTCAGCCCCCAGGAGCAGGAGCTCCTGCTGACGGCCAGCGATGACGCCACCATCAAAGCCTGGCGCTCACCACGCACGGTGCGTGTCCGCCAGGCCTCGCGCCCGCGCCCCTTCTTCTCCTGGTTCGCCAGCCAGAGGCGCTGAGGGGCGCTGGGACCCACCGAGGAGGCCACGGAGGCCCATGGCCCTTTTTCGGGGGTTGAGCTGCTGCCCAGAGCGCGCGGGGGCAGAGAAGCTTGCTGCAGAAATGCCTTAGGAGGGGGGCCCCGTGAGGCCACGGCGGGGGACGGCCTGGCCCCCACCACGCTCGTGCACGCACACCGCCTCCCACAGCTGTGGCGCTCGGCCTTGGGCAGCCGGGGCCGTCTCTGGCTGGCTTGGGCTGCACAGGACACTGGGCCCCCGCTCTTCACCCACCCCCTTCCCCTGGGCCTGGGCTCTGGGACAGTCTGCACAACACGTTCCCCTTGGCCAGCCCTGTGGGGCCCTGGCGGTGTTTGCTGGGCCCAGCCTTGCCCAGGGAGCCCAGGCTCCCTTTTCTGGGAACTCCCCAGCGTCAGGGTCGAGATGCGGGTCAGGCTGCCATGGGCCGGGCTGCCATGGGCCCAGGGGACCTGCATGTCACTGGTTCAGGGTCTGAATAAAAAGTTGGCAACAGCACAGCGCCGACCAGTCTGTGCAGGGAGGGGCGTGGCATCCAGTGTGTGCAGGGAGGGCGTGGCATCTATATGGGCCCTCGTCGTGCCTGCTGGACGGGGCAGGTGCCCTAGGCCACACGCTAGGAGCTGCCCTGAACTGGGCAGCGGGACACGAGTCTGCGTCCCCAGCCGCTGCCCTCGCTGCCTCTGTGGACAAGTCCCCGAGCGCAGACTCTGGAGCACGTCCGGCACGTGTGCGCTCCCCGCCAGCAGGGGGCGCAGAGGGACACGGCCTGGCAAGTGTCAGGCACCAGGGGCGGCGGGGGGCTGGTTTCAGGGCTTGGAGTTCTCAAGGGGGTGCCCTGGCTGGGGCAGGGGCAGGGGCAGACCTCTGGGGCCTGGCACGTGACAATGTGGACACAGCAGAGGTGGCAGCAGAGGGGCGGGGGTGGCCCCAGCTGTACCCTTAAGCCTGGCCCAGGCCCATCCTGGGGGCTCACCTGGCCCGCTTGTTCATCTCGGGACACCCCGGGGTGGAGGTGCAGCCCGGCTGCACGTGGAGCGATGGTGCTGAACTGCCATCGGCTCCACACTTGGCACGCGCCAACGTGACAGTCGAGAAGACACGTGGATGGGCCTTGGGGGACAGCGTGTTTCTCCAGGCCAGAGGCAGCGGTGAGCAGAGGCTGCCCCGGTTGCCTGCGGGGTCAGAGCCAAGCTGGCCGCAGGCAGACGGGCTGGGCAGGGCAGGGTACAGACACGAGGTCAGGGAAGCTGACCCAGGAGGAGTTCGGACTGGAGGGCAAGGTGCCCGGAGGAGCCAGCCAGTGGCACAGCTGCGCCCCGAGGACAGAGCCCCAGCCCCACAGCTGCAGCGGGGAAGCCTGGGCCCCTTGGTCTGTCTCCAAACAACTGGACGGGTGAGAACAGGGAAGGGAGCCCAACAGCAGCGGAGCCCGAGCGCTCTGCGTGGGACCCGCCTGGATCCGCAGCCAGGAGCCCAAGCTCGGCCTCAGACAGGAGCCAGGAAACCCCATGGGTAGCTGCGAGGTGACGCGGTTTCTGGAAAAGACTGGAGATATGTTTAATTTAAAGCCATCAAGGAAACCTACAAAATCTATAAAACAAAAGCGGCGGAATCGGAATCAAGAACATGCAGAAATCGAAAAATTAGAAGGGAGCCAACAGAGAAGAGAGGTTGATTGGAACTAAATGCTTAACACATGGAAAGAAGGCTGGACCAGGCCCACCTGGTGTGAGGACTGGGAAGCGGGTGACAAAAAGCAGAGAGAAAGAAACGTGCCAGAGGAGGGGGGAGGCCCGGGAGGCGGGGGTGGGGGTGGGGGGTGGGGAGTGGGGGGTGGGGGGTGGGGGGGTGGGGGTGGAGAGCAGGTGGAGGCGGGGTTGGAAGAGGACACCCATCCCCAGAGCACGCGAGCTGAGGTCTGATTGAGGGCAGCAAGCAGGCTCGAGCCTCCAAGCTCCATAGGAGGTGGGTGCAGGTGGGGAGCTGGCTCGAGGCCCTGCCCCTCCGGAGGTGTGGCCAGAAACCTGAGCAGAGGCACGGGGCAGCCGAGGGCTCCGACAAGGGTGCCATGGCAGGCGGGGCAGGGGCAGTGGCAGCACTGGGGCCCTCAGCACTGGCACCTCTCACCGGTGCCCACCCTCAGTTCCTGGGCCTGCACACGGCACAGCCGCCAGCCTGCCATGGGGTCGGGAAAAGGGACTTGTGAAGCTGAGTGCAGAGAGGCCGGGTGATCCCCGGGGGCTGTGTGGCCCCAGGCACAGCCAGACTAAGGAGGGGCACGACAGAGCAGGGTTAACGGGAGTGCCAGGTTTCAGGCTGGAGGCCAGACGGGGTGCCAGCAACCAGACCAGAGGGAGCAGCTTGAGAAACAGCCCGTGAAGTGGTTGTGACGCCCAGGACCGCCCGTGAGCTGCCGGTGTGCTCCTGAGGCTCAGGCCCAAGGCTCGGTGAGCTTGCAGAGCAGCACGCAGGACCAGCCGGAAGAGCATGGCTTTCGGGGCTGGGCTGACGTGGGGTCCAGCCCGCGGGTGGCAGTGGGAACGTGAGCCTGGGCCTAACCAGACCCAGACCTGATAAGGTCAACGTCCAGAATCTAATCTACAGTTACCCAGCACACGAAGAGCTGGGAAACGTTCAACTCAAGGGAAGCCAAGGATGCTGAAGTCACCTGACAGAGACAGAGTGGCTCTTATAAAATGCCTGAGTGAGCAAACACGTTCTGCAGTGGATGTTAAGATATAAACAAAAAAGGGAAATAACCAAAAATTTAAAACTCCAGACAAACTCCATAGCAGGATGGAGAAGTCAGAGGAAAGAGTCAGTGAACTTGACTAAAGACAGGACAACAGAGATGGTCCAACCTGAACAGGCGCGCAAAGGTCTAAGCGCAAAAGGAGAGGAGGAAGCGATTTGAAGAAATGATGGCTGAAAACGTCCCCAAATTTGGATATAAACCTACAGATATAAACCTACAGATTCAAGAGGTTGAGCAAAAGGACAAACTCAAGGACATCCACACCCGGACACATCTAAATCGGTGCTGAAAACCGAAGACAAAAGAAACCTGAAAGCAGTGAGAAGATGCACCTCGGCCCCCCGGGGAACAGCCTGTGGTGACTACAGATTCCTCATTAGAAACCACGGAGGCCACAGGAAGTAGCACTTTTTTTTTTTTTTTGGGGGGTGCGCTGAGGGATCTTAGTTCCCTGACCAGGGATTGAACCTGGGCCCCGGCAGTGAAAGCCTGGCGTCCTACCCACTAGGCCACCAGGGAACTCCCAGCAGTAGCACATGTTTTAAGTGCTGGGGAAAAGGAAAGACTCAGCCTGGAGTTCTATATCCAGTGAAAATGATCTGCTCTAACAGAAATGCCGATGGGAGCTCTTCCGACAGGAAGGAGATGGTGTCAGGAAACCTGGATGGTCAGCAGGGAGGGGACAGCAACAGAAACGGTGAACACTCTCCTCTTGAGTTCTCCGAACACATTCGGCTGCTGAAAGGAAGTTTGTTATGGTGTCGTCCGGTGACATGTCCAGCACACAAAGGTAACGGGGGAACCACAAAGGGGCCTCCAGGGTGGTAAGGTTTCTACATCCCAGTTAAAGAGCAAACTACTGATTCCAAGTAGACTGGAACAACCACTAAAACCATAAAGAGAGAGAGTCAGTATCACAACAGATGAACTAAAATTGAATACTGGGACTTCCCTGGCAGTCCAGTGGTTAGGACTCTGCACTTCCAACGCAGGGGGCACGGGTTTGATCCCTGGTTGGGGAACTAAGATCCTGCATGCTGCATGGTCAACAAAAAACAAAAAACAAGCAAACAAAAAACCCAGAGAGAACCAACAGAAAACAAACACAAAATGGTCAACTTATATCTAGCGTATCAATAATTACATTATTGTCAACGTGAAACTTAAAAACAAAAAAACCTACAACCCAACTATGCCATCTTTAAGAAACTCAAATATAGTATAGGTTAGTTAAAAGTAAAAGGATGGAAAAATGTATACCACAAAAATACCAGTGAAAAGAAACAGGATGTTAATATCAGACAAAGTAAAGCACATTTCAGAAAAAGTCTGTTACCAAGAAAAAAGAGGGACATTACACACTGATACATGAGTAAATTCACCAAGAAGATATAACAATCCTACATGTGTGTGCGCCTAACAACAGAGCCTCAGAATACACAAAGCAAGAAGTGACAGAATGAGAGGAGAAACAGATGCATCTGGAGGTACAGTTGGAGACTAGGTGCTCCTCTCTCAGTGAAGGTCGAACTAGTCACAGAGGCAGCAACGTGCAGGAGAACTGAGCCCTCCCCTGTGTTAGCTTCCTGGGTGGCTGGAACAAAGTACCACAAACTGGGAAGTTTAAAACAACAGAAATTTATTGTCTCAAAGTTCTGGAGGCCGAAAGTCCAAGGTCAAGGTGCTGGCAGGGCCACTCTCTCTGGGGGAAGCCCTTCCTGGCCTCTTCCTAGGTTCTGGCATTTGCCAGACATCAGGCGCACCTGACCTGTAGACGCATCACTGCGACCTTCTGTCTTCACGTGGCATCCTCCTCCCTGGGCCTGTTCACGTGCTCTTCCCTCTGTGCACGTCTGTGTCCATGTTTCCCCTTTTCAGAAGGACACCAGTCATATTGGATTGAGCCCACCCTAATGACCTCATTTTAACTTATCTCTGTAAAGACCGTATTTCCGAATAAGGTCACAGTCTGAGTTACTGAGGGTTAGTACTTCATATCTTTTGGGGAGTCACAATTCAACACATGACAGCTATCAGCCAACTGGATCTAATCGATACGTATGGAACACTCCCCCACCGACAGCAGAAGACACGTTCTTTTCTCTTTTTATTTTATTTTATTTATTTATTTAGTTTTGGCTGCGTTGGGTCTTCGTTGCTGCGCGCGGGCTTTCTCTAGTGGCGGCGAGCGGGGGCCACTCTTCGTTGCGGTGCGCGGGCTTCTCATTGCAGTGGCTTCTCTTGTTGCGGAGCACGGGCTCCGGCGCGTGGGCTTCAGTAGTTGTGGCACGCGGGTTCAGTAGTTGTGGTGCATGGGCTTAGTTGCTCCGCAGCATGTGGGATCTTCCCGGACCAGGGCTCGAACCCGTGTCCCCTGCACCGGCAGGTGGATTCTTAACCACCGTGCCACCAGGGAAGCCCTGACATGTTCTTTTCAAGTGCACATGAAACAGCCACCAACGTGGACCACAGCCTGCACCACAGAAGGAGCCTCAGACACAGGAAGACGAGGGGGCACAAGTCAGCTGTGAGCAGACAGCACACATGATGCTGTCCCTCTACTTGAAGGTTTGTTTTTTTTTGGCCGCAATGCATCCATGCGGTATCTTAGTTCCCCAACCGGGGATCGAACTCGTCGTGCCCCCTTCAGTGGAAGCGCAGAGTCTTAACCATTGGACCACCAGCGAGGTCCCTACTCGATGTTTCTAAATGATTATTTTGTGCGTTGAAAAAATAAGAT